ATAACGAGGCATGATTAGGGCCCCCGGTACGGATATTGGCGGCCCCTCCTGTGTTCATCTCAGCAGGTGTTGCGTCGTCGTTGTTTATAAGGGACCGGCGGGGACTGGCGGCCGGCGCGGTATTCAATTTGCCCCGACGATATGTGTGCGACGGTATAAAGGAGCGCGCAGCATCAACTCCGACACGATAATCTTTTCTAATTTTCGGCAGAGGGGGGAGGGCCTAAGTAGACAAAACGACGCGCGGTCCCGTATGCCGCCCAGTCCGCACACACACACACACACATATAAACACACGCACTCACACAGCTTTTTGGCAGCTTTTGTTTGTGATTTACGGCGTGTTTAGCAATCTGCAAGCGGGCCAAGCAACTTTGGTCCGAAAGCGATTTAAACGAAAAAAAAAACGGGAAGAAGGCGGAGCGCGGGGGGGAGGAGGATGCAAAGTACGTGTAATAACACGAGGAAAATCTGCGCGGCGTGGGGGGCTGAATCTGGAAAGATGGAAGACAGGGAGGGGAGGGGGGGGGGCTGAATCCGGGGCGGGAGAATTAAATAATGAAAGAGAGTGCCCACTGTCAGGAAGGTGGGGCGGCCTTGTGTAGGCGCGACATTCTAATCACTCACACTTTTTCATTTTCCCCAAAACTTATTTCTACGTTGAGGGGTTACTACACGTTGTTAGCGGGAATGGTGATCGGGAGTTTGCATGCCGGCGTGCTGACAGGGGGCTACATCACCATAAACTCTAGCGTACACAGATTTTCCTGTTTTTTCTTGATGTTTTCTTATTAATTTTTGGATGAACGCGCGGTCGTGGTGGTGCTTGCCCTCAATGGAGACGTCGCTCTGCCCTCACCGAGTGCATGATGCTCATTGATGAGCCGGACGGGATGCGACGGGCCGTGGTGAGCCGCGCCGGCAGGTCGGCCGTCCTGCCCTGCCGTATCACCAAACAAACAGGTTCCAGTTGACATCAGCCCCGTTCTGTTCCGTTCCAGTCCAGGGCCGGCCAGGGCAGAGAGCAGGGCCTAGCCAAGCGTCTAAACATTGGATGCCTGTTTTTTTCCCTTCTTGGTTTCGCCTCGAAAACATCACGCCTTTGTCACCGGCGTTCCCGTTAGGCCAGACGGACTCCCCCCAACCCGACCGACACCCTCTCCAGCCCGGGACACCCGGCCGCCGCCGGGGTCCGCGGGCCCCGCGGGGGCCTTTTATCCCACACTCCCATTCGATACTCGGTCGTGTTCGAGAATCGTTTTTACTTCTCTCGCTCGTGTTCTCGGATCATTCGACACCCTGCGACTGTTTCTGTACTTTCACGAGTCCTTCCTGTTTCAGCGGGGCGCAGCAGGACTGGCCAGCGGGCGCCAACAGGATCCGATCGACGGCGGCGCTGGGCGGAAGCGGCTGAGGCGATAAGGTGGGTCCCAACAGCAGGTCAAAGGACACGCGAGCTGCGCGGGCTGCGCGAGCCCAGCAACAGGATGCAGCCGTGCAGCAGGGGCCCCTGTAGGGGCGCATCGAGATTACCCGGGCTCTTGGAGCCGCAGCAGGGAGCAGGAGGAGGAAGCTGTCACGGGGGAAGAGGGGGCGGGGGGGAGGGGGAGGGCAACAAGTGGATCCAGCTTTACTACGCGCGCGCTCTGGGTGTTGTGTGTGCGTCTGCATCTTATGAATGGGAGGCTGTGCCCCCGCCCGCCTCCCCGCCGTCCCGCCGCTGCCGTCGGCCGCCGGGCTGACCGGTCTCTGTGAGGCTACCCAAGTGGCCCCCGCGGCCCCAGAGCAGCAGCGGCGGCGGCGGCGCGCAGCAGCAGCGCGTCTCTCTAGAGGCCGTGGTGTGCCGAGTAACAGGCGCCGGCACAAATCACAAACGGACACGCGTGTTGTTCATCTAATTGTTACGCACGGCGCGCAAGGTCGAGGCCGTCGTCGCGTCGGGCGCGGACGGCTGACGGGCCGCGGAGCAGCGCCGCGCTCGTCTATACGCTTCGATCGGATCTCTGCTGCTGCCGCGGAAGTGTCGGCGGCGGCGCCGGGGGGTAGAGGGAGAAAGGGAGGAGAGGGGGAGAGGAGACGGAAATGTCAGTGATACTCACCCGTGTGGATTCTTTGGTGGGCCTTGAGGTGGGAGCTCTTGGTGTACACCTTGCTGCAGCCTGCAACACGCACAGAGAGTCATTCGATACGCCTCGGGAAGGTGACCAGATGCAATGCAACGCCGGCCATAGGAAGTGCACGAGGGGGTTTGGTCCAGGCGGGCGGCGCGGACTCACCTGGGAAGTCGCAGTGGTGCACTCTCCGCTTCTCGAGCTCCGGGTTGTTCCTCCGGTTGTACTTTGGTGTGGATGGGGCGCCTGCTCCGGGCGCCGCCGGCGGTCGGCCAGGTTGCCTGCCCGCCCCCCGACCGGGCGCGCGCTGCC